CAATGTTAAGCAACTGGAAAAGGAAAAGGGATTGCCAAAACTCTTCATTTTACCACTTGACCCACTGTATTTGTCGTCTTGGAGGGCTCTGAAGGCATGAGGGTGTTCGAGGCGCAGAGGGTTGACTGCAGTACCAAAATGTTTTGTCACAGTTTTTAAACTATATATTTACCTCCTGGGTGAAAAAAAAAAAAAAGAAAGAAAAATAATAACTATAATAAATTACTCTGGGTTTAATATTTAAAATTAATTTTTATAGTTTTAGTCTGTATCTTTCCTTTTTTCTCATCTAAATGTGAAAATAATACATTCAAAGAAAAAAAATAAATAAATTGGAGGTAGAATAAGTATTCATCCAAGTCTTTGAGCCGAGCAACCACAGGTATCACAAGCAGCCACAGATATCTATCCAATCCATCATACAGAGTTCATCAGAGTGTAGCATGAATATCTGAGGTTTTGGGTGATGTCCCATAATTTAAGCCTAAAAGTACAGGAAACAGACCTTTCCTTATGGAGAAAACCTTTGAATATCAATCAAGTTATGAAGGTCAAAAATAAGACAGTGGAAGTAAGTTCACACTGGTCTATGCCAGATAACTTTTTGGTGATTGACTAAGACCATCCAATCTCAAAATGAAAATTCCATGTTGCTGGTATAATTTTTGATCTACCTTCTACATATATGCACACTTGCAGGTAAGATGTGCTAATGATACTGTAGACACAGAATTTATTTTTCTGAGTGTTAGCAGACGTCATTCACAGTTGACATAGGAAGGGGTGAATAAAAGCTCCTTTACATACGAATTTGTACTTGGAAGTGGTTTTATTTATCTCTGGCAGCATTCGATCATACTTTTGTGGTTTTAATTCTCTGATGTATTGATGCTAACCATAGGCTAGCATACATCATGTATTTTAGAGTTTGCTCTGGAAAGCAATAAACTCTCCCAAAGTTCCTGTCGTCTCTGAGATATGTCTGCCTTTGCCCAGAAGGTGCCTGCTAGCTGCTTCGTTTTTTCTATCAGCACACCTACGTTTGTTTCTCTGTGGTGAATGACTTTTTACACTGTCACGTATCTTACAGCTGCTAGTAAATACTTTCTCAAACATTAGTACACTTCAGGAGAAGGCACATGTTTATTTGTTTTTACTGAGCTCCTCATTAGGATGCTGCTAGGAGCAGTGTCATGGTACAGCAGTGTCGATAGATGTGTTTTGCTGCTTTACTCCTCCCACATATTCTGTTTGTGTGAAGTTATTAACTCAAATCACAGTGCACTAAGGTTGCTATGAGTTTGGAGACCTACAGTGAGAAAGGGACCAAAAATGGAACAGTTGTCAAGGCCTAATACAAAAAGATTGGAGGTTTTCTGAGTGTAAACTGTTGAAAAGTGAAAGAAATGTTGGGGTTTTTCCCTCTGCAGAAAGAGGAAAGAAAATGGATATACTGAGATGGGTGAAACATGTTTTAACATTGAATTTTCCAGAGCTAAAAGGAAATTAACAGCATTCTTGAAGGCCAGTTAGCTCTGACATCACCAGATAATACTGATCTAGACATAGGCAGTAATCATCACAGATACCTCTTTGGGAGAATATTAGATTTTGCAGGCAAAACCTGCATTATCCCTGTAGTTTTTTTTTTGTTGGACTTGGTTGGTTGGTTGGTTGTGTGTGTATGTTTGTTTTTTTGCTTATTGGTCTTCCCTGTAAGGGCCAGTTCATGGATGTATTTCTTGTCTTTCTGTTGCACCTGCTAGGACTTCACTCAATAAAATCACTTTGTCATGTATAAGTAGTCATGTTTATGTAAAGATCTTATCCCTTAATTAAAAATATGTAATGATGGGAAAGAAAATTCCTTTTACTATTCTAGTAATGATAACACTTGGTGAAAAGGGCTGCATGAAATGTTAAGTCTTACTCAAAAGAGATTGTTTTTTCAGAGACTAGAAACAATTTACCCATCAGTATATCGCTGAAAATCAAATAAAAAGACAAAATAAATTAATATCAATAAACATGTATTTTGCAAGAATAACAACAGGAAATGGCCATTTACACCAGCATTTCCCCATAATTCTTAACAGTTTATTTGTATTATGTATTATTTTTAAATTTTATTTGGTTTTGAGTATTTTCTAGTAACTAATGTGTTCTTCCACTTTGTTAGATTCAACTTATTCAAAACCATTCTTGAACAATTATCTAAAACTGTAATTTCCATTTTCTGATTTATCTTCAATCCTTACAACCTGCTCAGCTTCTGTTGAACCATTTTGGCATTAGCAATGACATATATTTTTATTGAATGAAAATTATTTTTAATAGTAGTGGTTCCCAGCTGCTACCATCTGTTGGGTTTTAAAAGTTTTTTCTCATTACAGTGTTAGCATATGATTCAGTTTCAGCTATACATTTCTAGTAAAGATGCTTGTCTGGGATATAGAGAAGTACTCTGCCCATTGTATCTTCTACAGTACGGCAATTCCAGCGAACATAGGGAGAAGCCAAAAATTTTTTCCTTTCTTTGCTGATTATAATCATCATTTCTGGATATGCCTATCCTCTGTTCCTTAGTGCAAGATGCCAACTTCTGCCTTGGGTTCTGTTATACTACTGTCAACGAGGGAAAGATAGAAGGAAAGAAACACCAGTGAACTATTGAAAAACTCACTTTAAGGCGAAGAAATATAATCTTTGATTGCTAAAGTTGTATCAAAATTCTAATTTTTTTGAATAGCATTCAGGAACTAATTAATTTGGATTATTACTCTTTTTTCTTTTTTTTTTAGAATAACGTATTAAATAATGTTGCCAAAAATGAAGGCAGGTTCTGGTAGGCCTCTACTTTCAAATATTAGTTCTTTAATTTATCTGTTTGTAGTACTTTAACTAATAATGTAAACATTAATGGTTTGCTTCAACTAGAAATCTCCTGAATTATGTTTCCTGTAGAACTATATGAATAATTGCCCAGCTGTGAGACATATGAATGTAAAGTTTTCTGTAAAGGGCAGTATGAATATATAGTCATTAGCATTGATGCTAGATAAATATTACACATATTTTGAGGAATTATTAAACCATGTACCTCATGCAGAGTTCAGTCTTGTCTTCAGATTTTAATTAATTTTGCCTTGAAAAGTGCTTTTATATGAGTTCTATGTAGTAGTGTTTGAAAGATACCCAATTTTGGCACTACTATATATATATGTGGCACTACTCTATATACTATATATACTACTATATATACTATATATAACATATACTATGTTAGCAGATGTACTGAGAAAATCATTTAGTGAGAAATGTGTAAGCAAAGCAATTAAATTTATATAAGAAATGCAGCAGAATAACACAAGTATGCAGATGACTTTATGGGCTTTATATGTGATATGCATGCAATGTCCTAGAGTGTATCTACATATTTTAAGATTTTAATGAAAATTAAATAACCAGATGAGTCAACCCAGTAACTGCGGAGAAAAACATGTCATGAAGTATGTGATATGCATGCAATGTCCTAGAGTGTGTATCTACATATTTTAAGATTCTAATGAAAATTAAATAACCAGATGAGTCAGCCCAGTAACTGCGGAGAAAAACATGTCATGAAAGGGTGGAAAGGGCAAATAGACAAGTTAAAATGAGACAACTTGCTGAGGTAGTATGTGCAAGATTATGTTTATACTTATTTTCTTTTACATACTGTGTAGTTCACTAAGGATATTGTTTTCTTCAGGACCATTGATCCATTCCCTATCACATATATGACTTCAAAATCTGTGATTATCTGTGTTAGGACTGGAGAATCTAAATAATATTATTTTTGAAAGAAAGTTTACCCGTAATTTCTTGTAAAATTTATTTGAGGTCCTCAGTAGGTAAAGTTTATAATTTTGAGAAGATGAGAAGACAGAAATCAAATACATGGGATCTTGGTGCCACATTAGGAATCCTATATGCTATGAAAAAAAAACAAACACAACAAACAAAAACCCATATAAATAATATCTTAGGCTTATGAAATCACAAATAATTTATATCTTTTAATTTTTGCCTTTTCTAATGGAGATGCAGGTGATCATATATTTGGAGTTCAGTTAAAAGAAACAATCAGACTTCTCCCTGCTCCAAAGCACACTTTTGGTGTTACTTTTTATCTATGATCCATAAACATATAAAATCAGAAGTGCAGAGAATTTGTATAAACAGTCACTATTTTGTCATCTTACATGACAACATCTTTCCAAATACCATAGACCAACTCTCTCTTTTCTTGGAATCAAAATATTCTGGGATTTCTTCAAACTTGGTGTATGCATGTGCTTTCAGAATAGACTGTCTATTTCATATTTGTCCAGGTAAAAAAAAAATTAAAAATCTTAATTTGCTGAAGAGGTGTGTTGCTGAGATTTCTTTTAGAAATATGAATGCATTAAAGACCTTTCAAATCGTGATATTCCTAATTGTACTTTCTACTTTAAAGAGAAAGGTTTTAGTATAGTGTTGAAAGTGCTGCATTGACCTAGTTGTTTTGTGTTGCATGTTGTTTAAGAAATTGTGTCTATTACACAAGTCATTATTTTACTTGACACCTTGAAATGATTTCATATTTTAAGCCTCGCATGCATGGAATTTTTATAATGAAGGACAGATTCTGAAGGAGGTGATGATTTAAAATGAAAGGGCCTGCACTAAAATCTCAGTAACACTGTAACCTCAGAGTACTCTTGCATTTTGTATCTTCATTTCTTTGAAGAGTAGAAGAAAAGTTTGTATAGTTTTGCATGAATTAGTTTTAGTACCTGCCATTTCAAACACACTAGTTGAGTTTGAGTCACCTATGTCAGAAACCTCAAATATTTCCTGAATTTGTCCTTAGAAGTTATTTTTAATTGTTTCTAGGTTGTGAAATGGAAATTGCATTGTTATAAGTTCGTGTAGCGTTAAGAAACTAAAGGAAGCATTCTGTTGTATATCTATACTAGCAAACAGTTCATGAAGATACAACATTTGTGGTGACTGAAACTATGACTGTGGAAACCACTCATGTGCCTTCTACATACCTGGCAGAGATCCTTCAGCTTCTGCAAGCCTTGTCTGAAGTAGAAGAACGCCTTAATTCTCCTGTTCTACAGGCTAAGGATTGTGAGGATCTCTTCAAACAAGAAGAGTGTCTCAAGGTAAGATAGAAAGCTTTTCTTACAATGATAGGTTTCCGTTATTTTGAGGTTTCTGTATATTGAAAGCCTGCGCTCACTCTCAGAGATGTTCATTTTATAGGTGCTCAGCTCCTCTCTGTGATGTGTGCGTGTATGCATATTTATATATGAAGGTACATAGGTGCAAAACAGAAGGGTTCATTTATTTTTATCTGTTTACATTTGTATTTGGAATATCTGCAAAGTACATCCTTCAATGGGAGAGAAAGGATGGAGAGGGACAGTTATGTATTTAAAGTTGTGAATTTGTGGTTAAAGTTTTGTTTATGTGTTTGTAATTTGAAGTAATTAGTAAGTAACTTTATCCACACCCAATCTTGGCAACTTTTTTTCAGTGTTAGATTTAAAAACATTTTTTATTAAAATAGCAAAAAATACAATTTAACTGTTCCATTCCATGCTAGACTAAAAAAGCTTGAAGTGTGATTGGAGCAGTACTCTGTGCAATTATTACAGTTTAATTAACAGAAAATATTCTCCAGTAGGTAGATAATGTCATTAAGATAAAACGAATTCATTATTGTTGATATGACTTTAAATATCACTGTCTGGTTTCTTCATCACTTGAAACAGTGAAATCCTATGAAATTGGTGAAATTTTTCCGACACTAAATTGACATAAGAAGAGAATGACATTAAAGTTGTAAGCCTAAGTAGATGAATGAGTTATCAGCTTTTGCAGAGTAATGTTTATGTGAAGAAAGCCTTGTAAAAAATCATGCTTAAATACTGTATATAATTACAGGGATTTCAATTGTCATCCAGCATGAAGAGAAAAACACATTTCCATTTGTCTGTGATTATTCTGGAGATAGAAATATTTTAACAAAAGAAATCATTAGCCTAAAGATGCTGGAGTTTGCCTACAGTCAGCTATAAGAAAGAATCTTAGAGGGAGAACCAGGGCAGGGGCTCCGGCTAGCTGCTCTGAATTGTCCTCTGTAGAGGCCCATTTATTTCTCTCTACAACAGAGGAAATGTAATAAAACCTTATCCATGTGCTGTCATTAGGTTTTATAAATTCACATCTATTTTTAACTCTTATACATGCATAGATCGTACACATTTTAGACATCTGTATAAACACACACACATATAGATATTGTTTATTAGCTCTTGAAAATTAGGGCGTTTCCACTTTCCTAGCAAGGCAGCATAGTATGTCTAGTGAAGCATAACAATGAAGTGTTTGAGCAAAGGAAGTATATAACTGATAATAGTACTGTGTGAAATAACTGTAGCCATTCCTTTTACCACTTCTGATTTAGTACCACTAAATTAAAGTGGTTCTGAGCACTGAAGCACACAACATGCCAATGTTATTGTCATTCTTCGTTTTAAACAGTCCCTTTTGATAGAATGATTCTTCTACACAAAAGAAGTCATAGACCATGTAAATCATGGCGAATGAGCTACCACTTGGTCCTTGTTCTATGAACTTATGTTCATTACTAGATCGGATAGAAAACCAGTGACTTACCTCAGGCAGTTTACTGGCAGTTGATTTCCTTTTGGTGCTTCTTAATGCTTTATGTTTGGGCTATATTTATCTGATTTATATCCATAACTAATCTGTTGTTCATCCACGTATATTTGGTATTATTGGATTTGACACCAACTTTAATAATATTGATTACTGAAGTTACAAGTAAGTATTGCCATAGGTTTAATTTAACTGAACTATTAAATTGTTATGAGATGCATTTGTGGGCACAGTTCCATCTTCCTCCCAAATAAATCTCTTAGAAGAGGAAAATGGATCTTGCACATTCGTGGGCTTTTGGAAGGGTATAGTTTTGATCTGAGCCTGCTTAATGAATATTTATTTCCAAGGAAAAGCATTCATCATTGTCATTATCCTGCAGTAAAAATAGAAAAGTAGTGCATAAACTGTTCAGCAGCTGGTTGGGAAAGGTTTGAAATTAAATCGTGGTTGATTTGTATCCCTGACAGATTTGCATGAATCAAATTACAGAACTGCCATGAATAACTCTGTGTTTTGAAACTGAGTTTGTGACTTTTTTTTCACTCCTATTCAGAAAGAATCCATTTTAATTAATCCTTAAAGGGAAAAAAAAGTTTATTTACAAGAATCTTTCAGTAGTATCTGCTTTTCTCCAAAGTAAATATGTATAGTAAGACTTAAACCTGATTGCTCATTATCCAGTAGGATAAATATCAAATACACATTAAAAAATTGCTTTTACTAATTGTCATAGATAATTTTAGGACTGACTTTTTATAGCAAAGGAAGGTAAAATAGCAGCAAAAATTTGATAACCTCTAACATTTAATAAATTACAATTGTTTTATGGTCACATTTAGTAAATCTGCTGAAACCGGCTCATAAGAATGTTGTTCTCTTCATTTCAAGTTTTAAGGAGTGGAAAAATCAGATACATAAAGCAGGTCTTCTCTCTTTATCACATTGTCAGCAATTGCAATGTTTCCTTTACCCTATTACAAGCTTTTCTAAGTATTAAGACATAGAGTACCTCTGGGGTTTTTTTTAATCACTGTACTTACTTACCGTATTTAACAAACAATTTAAATATTACAATTCTGCCAAAGATGAAACTCCAATTTATTGTATGGAAAATCATGGTTCATAGGTTGAAGGGTTAGTAAATTTGGCTTAATGATATATTTTCAAAATAGGACAAATTCTGCTATACGCACAAACATTATGGTACCTCTGTCTGCTCTTGATGATGTTTATATTGATGGAGTTCATATCTTTGAGTTCCCCACATAGACTTGATTGTAATTACAATGGATGTCTTTACAAGATTAAGTGTAGGGATAAAAAGCCCTCAGAATTTAACTAAGTATCCTTACGTGCAATAGATATTCCAAATGCTCCTGAAAATTAAAAGAATGTACAAATTTGCACATACTCAATCTGATTGTAGAAAATAAAGTTATATGGCTCATACATCGCCAAAGTTTTCCTGTGTGGTGATTATCTCATGCAAGCTACTTGTCTTGCTCAAGCTCCACATTATTTGGTGGGAGAACTAACATATTTCTGTTTGCTAACACATATCAAAAGAGTGTGCTAAAATGAAAGAATCTACCTGGAATTTAGGAACTCTTAATTTGTGTTTATAGTCATATGTGAAAAAGTGTTTAGTATTATTTCCCATTAAGAATCATCATAGTCATGGTATAGTTGTGCTTGGTCATTACTTAATTATATTAACTGTGAATTCAAAACTTTTTTTCTGAGTTCACTTGCTTTATACAATTAATGCTGCAAGCCTGTAGTAGGGCGAATACATATCAGGCATTTCTTTTTCTTTGTTTTTTTTTTCTTTAATCTTCTTAATTTTAGCAGGAATATTGTATTGTATAATATAATTATACATTTAGCTATAATATTTTTCAATGGTGTAATAGTTTTAATATGAAAAGCCATCTGGCTCATTGAAAAAGAGGTTTCCTATATATGCATACATAATCAATCTAGGACCTCTTTTTCTAGTTCATCTTGTGTATTTCCAGTAGGATCTTTATTTAATTCATTAAAAATTGTATTTTTGCTGTTGTTGTTTTTTAAATATAGGTATTTTCACACTTTGATTATTTTTTTCCTCTTCTTTTTCCCTTTGTTTGGTAATTATTTTCTTTCATCTACTGACACACAGTTTTCTACTGTGTCTTATTTCAGGATACAGGATATTTATTGTAAACGTTACACATCTGTGATTCTGGCAGCCAGAATCACCTTTCAAAATGGTTTATTACACCAATAACACCCATAGCAGACATTGTAACTCATAGTTCTATACATATTTTAAAATTATAAGTAATTTGGGGAATTTTTCCTGCCATTCATGATTACTAACAACTGTGCTGTTGCTGTTTTTTAATGTTAGTACAAAAAGCATGAAATACCATAACAAATCTGCTATTCATATAATTATAAAGCATCATTCTACATATGTTTGGATTGCCAAAAGCATATTTTGAATTTTGCACACTGGAATCTGTCTTTGTCATGTTTTAAGTGATTCTTATCAAGCAACATCACCTAATGTGATAGTCAGAGTGGTTTGCTGCTGCAGTTCAGTAAAACCCAATTAACCATGACTTAGAACTGAGTGTAATCAAATGCACTCTCCAACTAGATCTGTCAGTAATGCAGTGTTTGGTGGCTGATTTGTACACAAATAGCCAAGGAACTGAATTTTTACAGAACGTAGATAAAGATAAATTCCAGGTACTGAAAATGAACTGGTGTTCGAGTCTCTAGCACTCAGATTTTTCTTTTCGAGAGCAATGAGATGGATTATTCCCCAAAGGCCACTGTCACTTCGGCTGCTAATGATTTCCTGTTATCCTTTTTTCTAAAAATTAAAGCTTTGTGCACTTCTGTTAACCATGTTACAAAATCTCCCAAGGCATTATTGGTAACTAACTACTTCAAGCTATTCTTTTAAACATAAGAGAGAGATGGGGTAGGCATGTGAGATACATGGGTTTGTGCATCCACATATACACATGATTTTTTTAAAATTTTTTTTCTGGGACACTCTTGCACCATCCAGTTGTGGATTTATAGGTCAGTTGTGTTAACTTTCTTTGTCTGTAGCAGCTGTGCTCTAAACAAAAGCAAAAATCTGACATATGAATCAGAATTATACGCCTGTTCATATACCACTAACTCTAAACATTTAGGGCTACAACACATTAATTCTGAAGGCATAGAAGTATTTAATCTATTTTTAATATTTAGACAATTGATCTGATTTGTCAAAAACACATATAATTTCAATACATGTAGGCACATATATTACTCTTCATTTGATTACTTAAGCATATCAATCACAGTAAATGCCTTGGGTAGATGAGATGAGCTGATATTCAGACCTACTGAAAAGAAGGCTGCTTAACTCGAGTGCTTAAGTGTGTCCTAGCAGCTTTTAACATTGTAGCTATGATTTTCCCTGTTCTTTAAA